GAATAAACATTAATATTAGAAGCAATTTAACAATAATTCCAACAATATAAAATAGTTAGAAAAATAATAGAAATAAAGGAACATAATTCTTACTTTGATTCTGTTTGTTTGCAACTACAAAATGGTAAACGAGTTAGTAACTTCAAGGAAATAATAATAAAATAATAATTAAATTAAATTGATTTGGGGCCAAACCCTCAAACAGTTCTACCTTTCACGCCTTGGCTTAAGGACAGAACCACGAGTAAAGTATGGACTCCTTGGAGTGCTTGAAGAAGGAATTTTGAAAGAAGAAGTGTAGGCTAGTGTTTAGGCTAGAGCATAGAAGAGAGAAAAATAGAGAATTAATTGACGCCCCGTACATCAGAAATGAGGGGGTATTTATAGAAGAAATGTGCTGAGGGAACACACGGAACCCTAAAATGATAAAACCCCTAAAAAAGTATACCGCGACACGGCAAAGTGTACCGTGACAAGGGAAATCCCACTGTCAAACGGGAAACATTCCCGTGACACGGTGCACTTTTGTGTGACGCGGGAAATATTTAGTGAACGGGGAAGAAAACGCGTTAAGGGTTTACGCGAAAAGGACACGGAAACCCTCGTGTCACGGCAGATGTCCTGTGTCACGGGGAACCCCACCGTCATACGGTACAGTTTCCCGTGACACGGTGGACTGTTGCCGTGACGCGGGAGTTTTCATTCCGCTTTTTCGTCTAAATTCATTTTTAACCCTAAATTCGTTCAGCATTTTAAGTGCCTATTGATAATTTCGGGCCATTTTATGATTTTATTATTATTTGGGCTAAAATAAATAAAATAAATAAAATAAATAAAAATTTTGGGCTAAAAATAAATAATAAAACAAAAAGGTTTGGGCTAAAATTAAATAATAAAATAGTAAAATAAGTTTGGGCTGAAATTAAAACTATGCTTTGTCCAAACATCAATACTGATCCATGGACTATTCAAAATTGAATTTAATTAAATACGATTTTTTAAGCACTCTCGGGATTAAATACTGAACCCGACCAATTGTGGCGGTGAAAGGTTGTTCATCATCGGGTTTGGTTTTGGGGAGATATTTTTAGGTGTCTACAAGTTGTGACGATTTTTCTTGGCTTTCTTGCAACGTATAGCACAATGACAAGGATATCTAAAATGGAAAAGAAAACGGGGATAAGCTATTTAATGAGGTAAGTTGTTAATGTATAATCATAGGTCTAAAATATGAGGAGGAATTACTTTGCTACCATGTCGAGTATCATCAAGGGAAACTTTAGGAATAGAAGCAAGGGACTGATATCTAGGAAAGACTTGCTCTTCTTCAGGATCCAAGGATTGGATGAGAGTCCTGCTACCTACTGTCATCTGAAATGGGAGATCTGTTTCCCTAGCCCTATATTGGAGATCTAATGGTCTTATTAAGGCATTAGCAATATCATAGTTCCCCCTGAACAAGATGAAATCTTTGTATGCATCAATCTGATCACCAAATAATGTCATCTTCATTCGATTCTTCTGCAAAAGGGAAAAAAAGTTGCATTATGATATAATTTTGTATCACACTATGTCTTTAAATTAAGGGCTATTTATAAAATGACATGTGTAGATAATACCTTATCATCTTGTAAGACAATGTACTGGTATAAGATTTTTTTCTCAGATTCCTGCTTTCGACCTTTTTCTGCAATGTTGACCATTACCTTGTATGATTTACTCGATGTATCGAGTTCATCGAGAAATTTTTGTTGAGGTGCCATAACAAGACTCTGTATATAATGTAATCAGAAAGCTAAATAGGTTTTAGTGGCACACACATATGTACTATGGTTATTTGTGTCAAAATAACTAATCAAATAGTGAGTATAAAAATGGAAAGATCAGCTACCACTTGATTTTATTTTGTTTTGAAAATGTTAATTATATAGCTAAATGATAATATATGTATTCTAATTATTGGGTATAAGTGTACCTTTTATAAATAGTGGTTTTGTTAACTATATCTTATTCATAATAAGGGCAATCAATATAGGTAATGATACATAGCTCTTGAAAGACTGAAATCAAACTGATTGTAATGATTTGAAATATTTTATGACATTTTTTTCAAATAAATCATTTTCAGTCAATTCATATTTGTAGCAAATTAATCAATTTATTTAGATGTGTAATTGAAGCTGCTAATTAAGCTTGTATCCTTAAAATAAATGACAGCTTTGACACTAATCTATTGGTGTATGAAATGTGCCTGTACTTTTACATTTAGACGAATAAATTCATATATATGGTGGTTGTTACATGTGATTTACCAAATAAGTCTAAGCATGAGCAAGCACTTATAAAGAATTATTCATATGTAACTGTGATTCTACAGATGCATATAGACAAACCATGACTTTTTTATTGACTGCACCTAAAGATCTTTGAAGAATATAAATGCTATGACATATATATTCTATGCATGGATGTTCAGTTAATAATAAATTCGAATGTAATTAGGAAAAATTCTTAAATAAATGAAGTGAAACAATACATTGTTCGATCATACCTGTCAAGTTGCAGAGGCTTTAATGTTGATGTTGTAGATTGTAGCTTCTGCTTGTATTTTTCTTTTTGGTTCTCCTTCCTATGCTCCACCACAGAATAGTAAATTTTATGAGGTTTAAGAAGACTCAATGTCAGTAGTGTTTTTATAATACATTTTTTTTTATTTAAAAGAAAAATTAGAAGCAAGAGGCAAGAATTCAAATCTAGTGTTTAGTGTAATAGTGGTCTGCTGTATTTTTTCCCATAAAATCAGCAAGGTTTACTACCTAAAATACTATCTTTTATACTTTATAGATATAACATGTACTTGTTAATACTTAAATATGGAATTACATATCTATATTGATATCTTTAGTCTGAAATTGCATTACTTACATAATATTTTGTTTTTTCTAAAGTCATATTGCATACTGAACTCTAAAAAATAGAACACATCTAATTTGAAGCATTTTAAGCTAGAATACACTGTTCCTACATTTGACTGTTCTTATTTGCTAGAACATCTTCTTGTATCTCTTTTTTTTCATTACTAAAACAAACTTCTATCTAATACAGAAATTTAGAATGGCCTAGATTTAGGTATAAAGCTTTAAATTTGATATAGTGTTTAGAGCATTTGTTGTAGAAGGCAGTGCAACCTTTTTCCTGCTTTAACCTTATAATTGGTGCTGGTTGGGCCACTTTTTGTAAAAAAATATGTATTGCTGTATGCTTCATGCAAGGATTTTGTGGATTAGTACAATTACAAATAACCAATTGATTAGAGCATACTGGGCTATATCCAGTAAACTACAGAGCTGCACCTAGACAAATTAGCCAAGAATTTGTTTTTGTACAAGCATACAAGCAGCAACATCTGCCCTGACTATAGCAGAAATAACCGCCAAAAAAAGTACATCAAGTTCTACATTTAACAACTAATATGCGTAGGATTATAATAACATATGTCATCTCCCATGAAATACAAAGAGAGGCATTCCACTTAGTAATGAGCATTACAAAATATTACTTGATCACTACAATGACAAAGAACCAATTGATTAAAAGACATTGGCCTATCTAGTAAACTACAGATCTGCACCTAGACAAATTAGCAAAGTACTTTTTTTTGCAAGCATATAATCAACAAAAGCTGCCCTGACCACTGCAGAATTAACAGCAAAAAAAATGTACATCAGATACTTGATAGCTTGTAAATTCTAAGCTAAAATCAGAACAATAACTCTAAAGGCTTCTGGATAAATAAATAGCATACCATGCTTTAAAAGAGAGTCATTATTTTGATTGGTGAATGATGATATGCCTCAAAAGGAATATTTGCTGCAGAACAGTGTAGGTTGTTGGCAAAAAATGAGAGCAAATAAGTTAGTAGACTGTGGTCTGAACATAAAAAATGTTAAATCAATTCCAAACTAATTTCAATTAAAAGAAATGAAAAGCATCACTCACTGATAAAGTTAGATGATGCCAGCCATATGAAGAATATCATAGGATACTACATTCCTAGCATAACCTAAAATTGGTTGATCATCATTGACATTGGTTATAACACTAACATTAGATGCTTGTCGAGCTCGAGAAAGAGCCACATACAACTGTCCATGCGAGAAGCATGACCGTGGCAAATAAACGACAACTTTGTTCAGTGTTTGCCCCTGAGCTTTGTTGATGGTCATTGCAAAGCTAAGCTTTAAGGGGAACTGTTTCCTTTGAAATTGAAAAGGGTAAGCTAAGGACTCTAATGGCCTTAGGTTAATTCTTGGTATCAATACATGTTCTCCTTTATGATGACCAACATCAATAGCACATTCAATGAGGTTTGGAAAGAATTTCTTACATATCAAACGCGTTCCATTGCAAAGACCAGATGATGGCAAGATGTTACGCAGCAAAATAACTGGACTATTGACCTTTAATATAAGCTCATGAGGACTCATACCACTAAGACAGAGTTTATTTAAGAATTCAATGGGATAGATGGAACAATTATCATCAATCATTGAATCATAACTCTTGTAAGCTATTGCTTCACCTGGAAACTTATCTATTAACATGCTATTTATAACATCAACATCATCGTTGATAGGTGTTAGTATAGCTCTAGTGGTAAATATATCTGCATTGAATGGAGGAATATCCATTTCTGGAAAAGCAACTGAACTCAGATGCATGCCTTGAGGTGCTGAAGTATCGCAAGGCTCTATAATGTGTGCTGGTAGTTGAACTAATCCATTTTCACTGTCCTGCAGCTCCCCATTTCCTAGTGCTAGCAAGAAAGCTGCATATGCTAGATCATGTCTGGCTCGAATATTTTCTGTTAGTCTAAATTTAGTTAGCAGTGGCCATATAGCAGAGCTAACCAAGCTAGCAACAACTGCCTCGCGTTGTGTTCTTTTGGGCATAACAGGAAGAACCTGTCTAAAATCTCCTCCAAATATAACAATTTTGCCTCAAAACAATAAGTGAGGATCACATATATCCCTGAGCAGCATATCAAGTGATTCAACATTATCTTTTTTGGCCATCCAAGATTCACCCCAAATGATAAGTGTCGTTTCTCTTAACAATGCAGCCAGACTACCTTGTTTAGGTACACTACAAGCACGTGACTCAAGCGGATCCAATGGAATTTTAAACCGCGAGTGTGCAGTCCTTCCAGAGGAAATATTAGCTGCAGTTATACCCGATGCTGCTGTTGGCAGTACAATCTTATTCATCAATCTTATCTCTGCATATAAAGCATTATATAAAAAGGTCTTTCCTGTTCCACCTGGACCATCTATAAAAAATGCTCCTGGCATTTTCTTTGTAACGTGATCCATTATAACATCAAATGCTTCCCGCTGAGCCTGATTCAATTGATTCTTGCACTGGAGACATTGTTTTGGCATTGGAGCATTCAGTGCATCCTCTATATCCTTTTTTACACGCATTCCATCATCTTCATCCTGAACTAAATGGTCTAATCCATAGACTGCAAGAGAGCTGCCCATCGACTCTAAAAACCACTCAACTGATTTAACAGGAAGCTGCCTTACCTTATATGGATCAAAAGCATACCTAAGTCTAAAATCTTTAGACAGGAAATAATAATATTTCATCTAAAGAGTTACAGGATCGCTAGGATGACAAAATAATAACACAATAGCAAATAACTAGCGAACTGCAAGTGGAATTTGAACATCACAGCCTTCTTTTAAACATATATCAACTGAGTCATCTTCCTCTAACAACTTCAGCTTAAGTGCAACTTTTTGAACGGTATCACATACTTGACCATTAACTGTTCGCATATCTTCAAATGACTTTGGACTTCTTACATTATGCAGCAATAATCTGAGATAATACCTTTATCCTTCTGAAGGACTAACAAAAGCCAACCTGTCAATTACTATCTTCTTATTCTCTCTTTTATACCAATGTTTATCATATGCATCCCAGCGATAGTGTTCTGAAAACTCGTTGTATTTGAAACTTGTTCCAGGAGACAGCTTAATATTCATTCGAAAGAATTCTGTAAGACAAGTTCTAGAACGTTTATCATCTGAAACTACTGATGTAAGACGTTCATGAGGCCTAACTTGGATCAACTGTGAATTAGGTAAATGCACAGGAAGAGGCAGAACTGGTGGATGCATTTCATACATATCAAAACCAAAAAGGTGCCAAGCAGCTTCATAGGGTGAAACCCATCGACCTGATTGATACTGCTGTCATGACCCTTATAAACATATTGAAAGACACTCTGTCATGACCCTTATAAACATATTTATACAAATATTTGACCGCCTTTATAGTAGAGCAAACCTCAACATTTAGATGACAATCAAAATACGATGAAAGATATGGATTGTATAGGATCACCCATTTATTATCCATAATTGTTCTTCGAATTGTAACAGTTTCTTCTGTGTCTCTTCTTCGGTAAAGTGGATATCCATCAGTGCTATTTTTAGTTTCATCACAGAATTGCTTTGGATAACCATATTTACGACCAAGACTTTCCTTGTGTTTCATACAAGGACATTCTGGATCCAAATGACCACAAGGGCCATGCATCATGTGCCTGAGTATAACCTTTCTAAGGTAGCTATTGTCAACAGGTGGTATCTCAGCACAAACAAATTTATCAAAATTAGAGGGGCATTTAATTTTGTACTCTTGCTTTAAGATGACCAAAAAATGAGCATGAGGTAATCTTCTCTTTTGAAATTCAATCACATAGATCATTGCTGCAACCTCCCCAAACACCTTTTTTTTTTATTAAATGCTTTAAGGCCAAAAATTTTGCTCTAAAGATCCTTGCAACTATATCCGGCCAGTCTTGAGCTTTTTCTCCAACAGCAAGTTCCTCTTTAATTTCAGACCAATTAGCATTACAAGTTATTGTAATAAATAGATTTGGCTTACCAAACCGCTGAACTAATGACATTGCATTTAAGTATCTCTTCTTAAGATCTCGAGGACCACCAATGAATGTTGGAGGTAAGATCACTTTACGGCCAACATTTGCTGCACAGTTCTCCCCACAATCAATAGTATCTAGAATTCCTTGATAGAAATCTGCTCTTACAGCTTGCTGATTTTTACGAGAAATCCAACCGCGTATTCTCCACTTTAATATACATATCTACTATATACTACTGAAAGCATCTACCTGCTCTTAACAACATATTATTGGGCCTGCTTTGAAGCTTGTATGCGTAGTATTCCCTTACTGAAATGTTTCTGTCTATTTTTGAAGAACCTCCATTTGCACCTACAAATCAACAATATTTTCTTGGTAAAATAGCACAGCTGCAATGGAAAATAATAGGTTTAACAGAATACATGCACATATTTTTTTAAGTCTTTTTATTCATTTGAGTTTCTCCTTTTTTAACATGTAATCTGTCTTTTTCACTTTCTTGAATGATAAAGGTGACAAGATATACATATGTCTTGCTTCCTCCTCCAACATTTCCTCTACAGTATGAACACAACATGAAGAAACAGGATCTGGCTGTGACTGTAGTTGTTGAATTCCACCATGTGACATTTTTTTTAACCCTTGAGTCCATCCACAATCACCAAATGGAAAAAGGAGTGGGTATTATTGCAGAGGATCATAACAGCCATAATAATGCATTATCCTATGACATGATTTTTTTGCAGATAAATCAGCCTCAGATGACTCATTGTGGGATGAATCATCTTCAGTTGAATCATTTTCAGTTAAGTCTTTCCCAAATGCATCCCTTTTTGCTGTCACCAGAATATGAGGACTTTCTAACTCACTGAAAGATGTATTTTCTAGTCATATGAGAGCAACTTCATCGGTGGAAGGAGCGTTGTAAACACGCTGATCTGGCACTGTTGTTTTGTTTATCAAATTTTGTGTAGAATTAGTAATTTGGATCTCTCTCAATGAACGAAAGAACCTAGCATAATGATAGGCGTGTCGCGTACCTAACAAAAATAACCGAACTAACTCTACTATGTAGTTAAGCAAGTAGGGGTCGAATCCCAAGAGACTAAGGACTACTAATTAAACAGACTCAAATCAATACTAAGCAAGTAACCAATCAATATCGAGAAATCTATTCTAGAACAATTACGAACTATCAAGCAAAGAAAATTATAATAATGAATTAATCAAGAACTAAAGACATCTAAGATTAAGTATCCCCACTAATATGAATCAATGCAATAGAACAATCCCTTTCCCTCAATTAAATCAATAAATATTCCACAGGACAGATGCTTCCTAAAACAATACTAAGAGTTTCTTTCGATCAACTAATAGCTTCCCTAACATGCAATCATACCTATTTTCATGGAATCATACATATTAAAGACATTGAGAACAACATCCTATAAGCCCTAGCAAGAACAATTAGCTATTTTCATGCATAAAAGCTCTTACTTTTAATTAGGGTTCTAAAATCAATTAAGAATCAACTTTCGTTGTAAACCTAATCACATTCAATAATACTATTTCTAGTTTATCATTGATAATAAAACCAACCCTAACAAAGAGAAATTATGAATCAATTAAATTGGGAATTGGGAATCAAATAATACATCAATCCATATTAGGGTTCAACCTAACCCTAGATTATGAAACTACTCACCCATAATAATAGAAATAACAAGACAATTAATCAAAGAAAACATAATAACAATAAAAATTAAAGAGAATAAAGAAGAGAAATCAATACTTGGAATTGGAATTAAATGTGAAAACTTGAATCTTGAAAGTAATAATGAAGAACGTAATACCAAAAGCTCTAAAATAATGTATGTAAAAAGTGATAGATAAAAGACTATCTAAAACCTATTTATATGCTAGGAAAATCGTAGTAGTCTTTTCTTAGGATTAGGACTCCTAAAATCCCTAAAATAGGGCTAATTTCGTTGGTAATGAAGAGGCCACAACCGGGCTGCGGTACAAGGTTGCGAGCCGCGGTATTGCTGCGGTGTAGGCTGCCGACTTGAATTCTTGCTCCCTTGTGAAGTGCGCCGCAGGTAAGCTGCGGTAGGTCATAGTAAACCGCAATCAAGCTGCGGACTAGGCTGCCATGATGCTTCATGGATGCTAAAAACGCTCCATATGAAGAATATCTTGCGTCCAAGTTGAATTCCACGCAAATCGATCCCTATTCCAATAAAAACAAAAACAAACAAACCGAGAAGAGCAATATCGAAATAGGAAGAATAATAGCTCTAAAAGATTAGGGAAATGAAGGAAACACAATACAATATGACCAAATATCACATATAAATCATGTATAATATCGTGTTATCAAATTTCCCCAAGCTAAACCTTTACTCGTCCTCGAGTAAAGCAATGAATAAATAAATCAATACTTCACCCCTAAAATAATCAAAATCAAGAATAACCAATTCAAGGTAAATCTAACGAATATGCTTCAAAATAAACCAACCTCATCTATCCAATCACTCATCCTTCCTAACAATTGTCAAATAGAACAAATCACAAGAGCATATAGAATTTAAGACTAGTGCTCACACACTCGGCTCTCATTTATGTGGCAAGTAAAAGATGTACTCGATCGCTCTCCATCCCAACCCCATCATGTGAACAATGCCCTCCCAACTCACGCACTCGTGTGTTTAAAAAGACATACACTCAACCTAATAGTCGACTCGGAATATGTCAAGTCATTCCTTGCATTGATAAGTAACTACTTTCACATTCACACAACTCTATGCACAAAGGTCGGAAGGTCTTTAAAGCTTGTAATGTAAGGTTAGGGTAAGAGGTAGGATAAATTTGGGAAAATGTGAGAGAAAAGCAATGCTTAGGAGAGCTAAAATCCTAACAAAATCAAGACCAGAAATAGATAATGACTAATCATCTCCAACATAACTCAACTCCACCAAAAATTCACCAAACATAAATCCAAACATATCAAAAGTTTTCCAACACTTACAATTACACTCATAAAAATATAACAACGTAGAACTTGAGTGAATAAAGAAACTTTGAACTCTTCAACTTGATTTTTTTTTAACGGAACTCTTTTTTTTTTCTGATCAACCTTCACTTAAAACATTTGAATCATTAAACAATTTTTTTCTTCTTTCTTTTTTCTTTTTGAAGTTCACTTTTTTTTTTCTTTTTACTTTTTTTTTCCTTGAACTTCAATTCTTTTTTTTTTTTTTCATCATGCTTTATTTTTTTTCACAAGAAATTCAACTCTCAAATCATCAAAAAGAAACCACAATGAAAAAGAATTACAACTTCTTAACACCACCCAATTGTGCAAATAATGAGCACACTACAAACTCTCTGACCTCACTCACTAATAGCCCTCCCAAGCTAAGCTTGGGACTAGTAACCAATGGGGAAAAATCTGCTTGTAATGTTGCTAATAAACAACAAAAAGGTCATGGCAACAACATGGGTAGTGTAGACACCCATTTGTGTCTCCCCAAAACCAAACCCAGTGATGAGTGTCTTTCACGTCGAATCATAATCGAATGAAACGAAAGTGTGGAAAGGTCTAGTGTTGTGGAAAGTTTCTTTTCTTTTCTTTTCTTTTCTCTTCTCTCTGTTTTTGAAAACTTTATTTTAAGAAAACAGCCAATCCAGTTTGGTTGGTCCATGATATGGGTCCAATAGTGGTGTAGTTGGATGGGGCTTGCAAATACCTTTCCAACGATATATTATAAGCCCAATTCCGATGAATATTGAGGAATTTAAGACCAATTTACTAAACTGGGCCCGGTTTGAGTTTTAAGTACGGTTCAATGATCTAGGGGAGGGCCTAATATGATTTATCATTCCTAATGTAATTAGGAATGGTTTTGGTCTTCTAGAACATTCTAGAAGGTCTTATCATTCTTAATTCAATTAGGATTCTTTAGAGTTTTAATTAGATCAAATAGCATTTTCGACTGAAATTATATTATTTTATCTTCCAGTACGAGAAATTTATCATATTTTTGAAAACGCGTTGAAATCCAATTTGGTGTCCAACCCCAGGCCTTGGCGCCTGGAATCAGGATTGGCGCCAGACGCCAGCCATTGGCGCCTAGCGCTAGCCACTGGTCCTGGCGCCAATGAGCTAGGGCTGGCGCCAAGGTGGTTTTGCGATCTTCAGGCTCTGTTTTGATAAATGATCTTTTTTGGATGTTTTTTCTATAAATATCGTATCAAAAACTCCGTTTTCATCATCAATTACCATTCATTAATTCTCTTCATTCATCATCTACATCTATCATTCACCAATTCTCTTTATTCTTAAGTCTTCATCATCATTATTCATCAATTAGTATTCATCTACAGTCAAATAATCCTTTTCATTCATCTCTTTTCATAAACTTTCATCAACATTCTTTTCTTTCTTTTCTTACTTTATTTTCATACAAAATTCCGCATTCACAAGATCTTGATACACCTAGCCATATTCGAAGTTGCCTTCGCCCTAGACGTGAAAGGTTTTAATTTTTGAGGGTTTGGTCCCAAATCTCTCTTTCAATTATTTAATTTAATTTTTTTGATTATTTATTTTCCTTGAAGTTACTAATGTGTGTATTTTGTTATTAGAAAGAGGTACGAGTCATCAAAGTAAGTGCTTTAATTGATTAATTGATATTATGATGTAGAAATCATGTTTATATTGTTATTATGATATTCCTAGTATCATGTCTAGGTTAATTTTAATATCAAATATGATTGCTATGATGCCTTTTATTCTCTTCCTAATATTTATGATTGTTAGTATCATGTTAGGGCTAAAGATTTGATTTTTATTGCTTAGTGACATGCTAGGGTTTGTTATTAATCTTGTTAGTATCATGTATAGGATCTTGCTGTGCTTTAACATGATTATGATGATTATGATTATGATTAGTAATATTATTATTAATGATGTTGATTATTTATTATGTTGCTTGATATATATTATATATTGTTATTGCTTGATCACCTTTTATGTATGTTTTAAAGGGAACTTGGTACTTGTAATCACGCTTAATAAGATATTAATAATCTTGTTTAGGATTAATTGTGATTATAATTCAAGTGATCGCCAATAATAGTTTATTTGTGCATTAAATTCAACCAACATAGATTAAACAGGTTTAGGGTTAATCCTATTGATTGCATGTTAATCAGAAAGCGCACATGAATACGAGTAGAATAAAGTAGAGGCCTATTATTAGGGCAGGTTCAATCTCTTTTAGGTTGGATTTGTACCTTCATCCCCGGACCCTTATTTGGTTCATGACCTTATGGAGTTGGCGATCTCTTGGATTGTTAAGGGGTGTAACCTTCACCTCGTGAACGGTTTACAAGCTCCTTAAAAACTTGTTGGCGACTCTTTTGCTCTATCTTCTTCCCTTTTGGACGCCACCGTACTTTAGTGTATGATCACAGTGGGGTTCAAGCTAGTGGGATTTTAAAGGCTTGAAAATATTCCCTACAGGTAGCAAGAAGGGAACAAATGTATCTAATATCGTTTGAAGGCCACCTAAAAGAACAACGCCTTCGTCCTCCTCAATGTGCATAATAATGAGTCGTAAAAAACTACTTATAGTCACAAACCAATACTCAAATTCATTGACAAATCAGGAACTAACACACATTCCTCACCAAATCAACTAGTCAAGCACTATATTCACAAACAGTTGGGCAAAATTGACGCATGTTAAGGCATCCAAGAAATCAAATATCAAATCATGGCTAACTTATCCACAATACTCATCATCATATACCAAGAATCAAAAAACAATTTTTAATTATGGGGCATAGGCGTAGGGAAGCATGATTTATCATTCATTGGGATAATAAAACTCTCCCCCACACTTAAAATTTGCAATGTCCACAGTGCAACAATATGTCATGAATAAATAAAATAGGGGAAAGGGTACTCACAAAACATTATGGCGGAGGTAGATGAGGAGGGCTCGATAATTAATAAAATAATGCATCGAAACAAATTCGCGCCAAAATCTCAATTCAAAATTCACAACCATGTTTTTCCAAAATATCACAAGTCTTCGAACCAAACCGCCTAAATCCCGGCCAAGGCCCTTCGAGAAGCAATAGAACAGTAGCCGTACGATAATATCTCAATTAAACCCCAAATTAAAAACCCACTCAATCATATGCATCCTTTTCCAACCCGTATCAATGTAGCAATAAGCCACTAGTCCACTACCCACACAAATTCAGATATAATATTGCAGCCAAGAAAATTAGAGATCATGGTCACAAATACCCAGAAACTTCCAGCCAAAATACCAGCGTATTCAAGAAATAATGTTTGAATTTTATTCGATAAAAAACAGAGGATAGAATTCCTTGTACTTGTAGTGATTATCACCTCTAATTCGCGTCAAAATCGAACAAGAAAATCAGCACTGGCTCGCCTGTAAGTTTCCTTTCTTTGCCTTGCGATTATACTTCTTCTCCCTTTTCTTTTATCTGTTATTTTTTTTTAAATAAAAAAAATATAAGAATGCTGATTGTAGGGAGTGTCGCGGCCTAAGTGTGGCATTTGGGTTTTAGACGCAACCGGGTTGCGGACTAAAATGATTTGCTCAAAGTTATAATGCACAATAAGAGTATCGCCGCAACTAGGCTGCGTAGGAAACGAATTTACCGCAACCTGCTTGCGGAGTATACTGTAATGTTAAAATTTTTGCCTCCATTATGCATTCTTCCTCCTTCAATTACACACCATTAGAGAAGAAAACAAAGAAAACTAAGAAAAAGAAGTTAAAAGAATTAATTAAAAAAATAAAAATAAAAAGGTGAAAAGGCTAAACTAGGCTACTGACAAGAATACTACCTATCCTTAATAAAACAAGAAAACAATAAGAAAAACACTACTCCGCTAATCTACTACACAAAACGTGAGTAAATAACAAAGTCATAAGCTCATAAAAATAAAATAAAAAAAATATTATAATAAATAAAAAGAACTAACTACGGAAAGAAAGCTAAATTAAGAGTAAATAAAATAATAATTGGGTTGCCTCCCAAGAAGCGCTTGTTTTTAAGGTCATAAGCTCGACCTCCTTTAGTAGCTCAACCTGGGTCACCACACGGAGAAGATACTCCGTGGTATTGCTCATTAATATATCCACCTTCAAACGACTTCTTCAAATTAGATGTGATGTGCTTTGTAACCGAGCTTATTTTGATGTAGCTAAACCCATCATGCGGTGTAATATTGTCATTTTTGCTCACAATATATCTATTAGAAATACACTTATCAACCAAAGGGTTAGTAGCATCAATTCTCAAACAAGTACCATTGTCAAAAGTAAAATTATGGTCATTGAAAAGCTTAAACACAACTTGTTTATCCTGAGCTCTAATGGTCACTTGTCCTTTAGGAACATCTATTAAAGCTTGACTTGTAGCAAGAAAAGGGCGACCAAAGATAAGTGGGATCTTATGGTCTTCTTTCATATCCACTACAACAAAGTCAACAGGAAAAACAAGTTCACCAATCCCAACTAATAAATCATCAACTACACCCTTAGGGAGTCTAACAGTTCTATCATCCATATGAAGAGATATAGGAGAGGGTTTAAGGTTTTTCAAACCTAATTTGTCATACACTGAAGAAGGCATTAAGTTAATACTAGCACCCAGATCACACAAAACCCTATCAAAATATGTTTTGTTTATCATACAAGGGATAGTAAAACTACCAGGATCATGCAATTTAGGTGGTAAGCTATCATGTAAAAGATCAGGACATTTCTCCTTTACTACCAAACTTTCTAATTTCTTATCATTATGATTGTCATCTAGAATTCCTTTCACAAAATTTGCAAATTGAGGCATTTGAATTACAAGATCGGAAAAAGGAATGGTAGCATATACCTTCTTAAGAGTCTCATAATACTTCCCAAAATGCTTATCAAGCACGACTTTTGATAACCTTTGCGGGAAGGGCATCGGTTCCTCATAGGCTTGTGGGGAAACATATTTGAGACCTTCATTCACATGCATTTTTGATTTCGACTCCAGATTGCACACTTTCTCCTCTAATCCTCCCGTAGTCAATTCATCTTTCTTCACTAAAATTGCATTGTTTGGGTTGGACTTTCGCTTGATCTTGAAGAGTTGTTAGATGAATCACTTGTTGTGAAAGTTAAGAAACATGAGTTTCTATCCTCTTATTTTGAGCAACAAGCAATTGAATCGAGTTTTCAAAATATTCATTTTGCTTTGCTTGTAGCTCAAATTGCTTTGATATAAGCTCTTGTTGTTGACATTGGGAGGTAGCAAAAGTCTCCATAATGGATTTAAGATTTGAAGATTGAGGTAGTGGTTGGTGCAATGGATTGATGATTAATAGGTGCCCTTGCTTGAAAAATGGGTGGTGGTGGAGGATTCACTTGAGCCTGATTGTTTATATATGAGAAACCTTGATGATTTCTCCACCCTTCATAAAATGGCCTTGTGGAGGTCGTAGTATAAAAATCATTAGCTTGCTCAATTGTCATTCCATCATAATTGGGTTGACACTCCTGCGCAGTATGACCTTGTAATCCACACATCTGACAAGTTTCCATCGAGGGTCGAGGGGACTCAGCTTGGAGTTGATTGACTTTATGAGTTAGTGCCTGCACATAATTAGTCAACAAGGTTAGAGCATCAACATCATGTTTATTACCTATGTTGATAGCATTTCGTCCCCTTGGATGGTAATTATCATTAGCCGCCATCTTCTCAATTAGATCCTTTGCATCAGTTGGGTTCTTAGTCATGATAGAACCTCCGGACGCAGCATCAATGTATATGAGAAACTCATGGGTCAAACCATTATAGAACGTTTGGATCAACATCCACTCTGGAATGCCATGATGAGGGCATTGCCTCTGCAATCGCTTAAACCTTCTCCATGCCTCATATAAAGACTCATCATCGGATTGATGGAAGGTGGATAGCTCGTTCCTTAATTTCGCAGTTTTCTCTTGCCCCAAGAATTTGACTAAGAAGGCCTTGGAAAGCTTGTCCCACGTATCAAAGGAACCGACACCTTCATCTCGTAACCACTCCCTTGCTCTATCACGTTGAGAAAAAGGGAAAAGGAGTAGTCTAATAGCATCATCAGTAACACCATTGAGCTTCATAGTGTCACACTTCTCCAAAAAATTATCAATGTGAGTCACAGGGCAATCATTCGGTGAACCCGCAAAAGAATCATTGGAGATGAACTGTATGAATTGGGGTTTCAACTCAAAACTCTGAGCGGTGACGGGTGGTCTAACAATACTAGAGAGGAATCTGGTTGTTGTATCTGGAATACCATGCTCCAAAAGAGATTTTGTTCCTGGGTTGACCATGTTACTTGTATTTTGATTTTTCCTCCTTCTACCTCTTCGTCTTCTTGCAGTAGCTTCGATCTCATAATCAAAAGGTGTTAAATCATCTTAACCTGAACTTCGAGTTTACATGCAACAAAGAAGCTAAAATGGGAGATCAAAGACACAAGGAACAATAGCCGAAGCAACAAAATTTATGCTTAGTAAAAACGAATCACGAATAACTAGAATGAAACCGTTAGTCCCCGGCAACGGCGCCAAAATTTGATAGGCGTGTCGCGTACCTAACAAAAATAACCGAACTAACTCTACTATGTAGTTAAGCAAGTAGGGGTCGAATCCCAAGAGACTAAGGACTACTAATTAAACAGACTCAAATCAATACTAAGCAAGTAACCAATCAATATCGAGAAATCTATTCTAGAACAATTACGAACTATCAAGCAAAGAAAATTATAATAATGAATTAATCAAGAACTAAAGACATCTAAGATTAAGTATCCCCACTAATATGAATCAATGCAATAGAACAATCCCTTTCCCTCAATTAAATCAATAAATATTCCACAGGACAGATGCTTCCTAAAACAATACTAAGAGTTTCTTTCGATCAACTAATAGCTTCCCTAACATGCAATCATACCTATTTTCATGGAATCATACATATTAAAGACATTGAGAACAACATCCTATAAGCCCTAGCAAGAACAATTAGCTATTTTCATGCATAAAAGCTCTTACTTTTAATTAGGGTTCTAAAATCAATTAAGAATCAACTTTCGTTGTAAACCTAATCACATTCAATAATACTATTTCTAGTTTATCATTGATAATAAAACCAACCCTAACAAAGAGAAATTATGAATCAATTAAATTGGGAATTGGGAATCAAATAATACATCAATCCATATTAGGGTTCAACCTAACCCTAGATTATGAAACTACTCACCCATAATAATAGAAATAACAAGACAATTAATCAAAGAAAACATAATAACAATAAAAATTAAAGAGAATAAAGAAGAGAAATCAATACTTGGAATTGGAATTAAATGTGAAAACTTGAATCTTGAAAGTAATAATGAAGAACGTAATACCAAAAGCTCTAAAATAATGTATGTAAAAAGTGATAGATAAAAGACTATCTAAAACCTATTTATATGCTAGGAAAATCGTAGTAGTCTTTTCTTAGGATTAGGACTCCTAAAATCCCTAAAATAGGGCTAATTTCGTTGGTAATGAAGAGGCCACAACCGGGCTGCGGTACAAGTTCGCGAGCCGCGGTATTGCTTTTCTTTTCTCTTCTCTCTGTTTTTGAAAACTTTATTTTAAGAAAACAGACAATCCAGTTTGGTTGGTCCATGATATGGGTCCAATAGTGGTGTAGTTGGATGGGGCTTGCAAAGACCTTTCCAACGATATATTATAAGCCCAATTCCGATGAATATTGAGGAAGTTATGGCCAATTTACTGAACTGGGCCCGGTTTGAGTTTTAAGTACGGCCCAATGATCTAGGGGAGGGCCTAATATGATTTATCATTCCTAATGTAGTTAGGAATGGTTTTTGTCTTCTAGAAAATTCTAGAAGGTTCTTATCATTCTTAATTCAATTAGGATTCTTTAGAGTTTTAATTAGATCAAATAGCATTTTCGACTGAAATTATATTATTTTATCTTCCAGCACGGGAATTTTATCAGAATTTCGAAAACGCGTTAGAAGCCGGTTTGGCGTCCAACCCCAGGCCTTGGCGCCTGGAACCAGGATTGGCGCCAGACTCCAGCCATTGGCGCCTGGCGCTAGCCACTGGTCCTGGCGCCAAGGTGGTTTTGTGGTCCTCAGACTCTATTTTGTTAAATTATCTTTTTTTTGGCTAATTTACTCTATAAATATCGTATCAAAACTTAGTTTTCATGGACGGATTGTCAACACCAATTACCAACTAGCTACATCTATTAATCAATTTTCATTAATTCTCTTCATTCATCATCTTTCGTTTATCAATCATCAATAACGTTGATTCTTTAGTATTCTTTTATATTTTGCTTTTTAACACAAAATTCCGCATTTACAAGATCTAGAAACACCTAGCCATATTCAAATTTGCCTTCGCCCTAGACGTGAAAGGTTTTAATTTCTGAGGGTTTGGTCCCAAATCTCTCTTTCAATTATTTAATTTAATTATTTTGATTATTATTTTCCTTGAAGTTACTAACGTGTGTATTTTGTAATTAGAAAGAGGTACAAGGCATCCCAGTAAGTACTTTATTGATTTATTGATTTTATGATGTAGACATCATGTTTATATTGTTATTATGATGTTCCTAGTATCATGTCTAGGGTGTCTTTAATATCAAGTATGATTAAAAGTATGATGCTTCCTATGTTCTTTCTAATGTTTATGATTATTTATTATGTTGCTTGACACATATTATATATTCCTTATTGCTTGATCACCTTTTATTGCAGGTTAAAGGGAATTGGTATTTGCAATCACGCTTAATAAGATATTAATAATCTTGTCAGGGCTAATTTGATTATAATTCAAGTGATCGCGGATAATAGTTTATTTGTGCATTAAATTCAACCAACATAGATTAAACAGGTTTAGGGTTAATCCTATTGATTGTATGTTAGTCAGAAAGCGCACATGAATACGATCAGAATAAAGTAGAGGCCTATTATTAGGGCAGGTTCAATCTCTATTAGGTTGGATTTGTACCTTCATCCCCGGACCCTTATTTGGTTCATGACCTTATGGAGTTGACAATCTTTTGGATCGTTAAGGGGTGTAACCTTCACCTCGTGAACGGTTTACAAGTTCCTTAAAAACTTGTTGGCGACTCTTTTGCTCTATCTTCTTCCCTTTTGGACGCCACCGTACTTTAGTGTATGATCACAGTGGGGTTCGAGCTAGTGGGATTTTTAAAGGCTTGAAATTATTCCCTATAGTTTTTGGCGACTCCACTGGGGAGGATTTCTATTTTAATTCCTGAATTTGTTTCGGTAATGATTTAGAATGAGTGGATGAGACTCGAAAAGTTCTAAGTATTTCATGTGCGTAATTTTGATTAACATTATTGTCATATGCATAAAAAGGTTCTCATTGGAAAGAACATCCATAATGAGTCAAAAACATAGGATTTTACACGTAGGAAATTTGAGAAACGTCTTTCACAACTAGGACTGAAATAACACCGTGCAAAACTGGATGATTTTATTGAGCACAGAAAGCTGCTGAGGCATGTGGGAAGTAGCGTCAGGGGCCAGAGCTTGGCGCCACACTTTTCTCTGTAGCGCCAGACGCCAGTATTGGCGCCAGGCGCTACAGTTAAAAGTTGGCGCCAATCTCTGTTTGCTGGCGCCAATTTCCCCCAATACCGAGCCAGAAATATGCGTTCTAATTTCTACCGGTTTTTCATTGTTTACTCGATCCTACTTCCTGATTGAATTTTTTCTCACTTTTCTGAAACCCATTTGTGTTCTACATATGGACATAACCCTCTGGGAATTCATGCTCTATCTACCCGATTGAACGCTCCTGGCAACAAAGGGTACATCTGAGAGGTTGAATTCACCAAACCATGGAAGCGAGTTTTTTCTAAAAACTCGCGGTGTTCTATCCACACGCGTTAACCCTTCACGGTTAGGCTTCTACGCAGTGCATTTGGACAATTAACCATGGACCCTATTTGACTAAACCATATCCTAAACTTTAGAGAACTAGAGCCATGGTTAGGTTACGAACTCATTGCATCATATTGTGCTTACTTGCCTAATTGTGCATTATTTGTTGCGCATATATATTCTATGTTCCTCCTAACCGTTTGTTGATTTGTGTTGAGATTATAATTAATGACTTAAAGAACTTTGCCTAATTAATTAATTAATTTGAGTCAATAAAGTTTTTTTCTTCTTTTAATCGGAATTGACCTAGTACAACTTTAGGCATACCCCAACTGATTAATAATACCGAAAACAGTCCCAGACCAAAGCTCCAATGTTGGTGCCAAAGTCTGAGCTGTAGCGCCACTGTATGGTGTGTAGCGCCAGACATTTACTAAAAAGTCTGGCCCCAATCACCATATTGTGACGCCAGTCCTGTCGCTTGGCCGACAGTTCGGATTATTTGTCGAGTCATCACCTAGGGTCTAATTAACCAGTTTGCTAATCAATTCGGTTAATTTTCGCTGTCAATAATACCTTGTCAGGTCATTAATCGAGTCTTGGTCACATAGTCTAGCCACATGGTCATGACACGAGTCTTAGCATGTCACCTACACTCACTAGTCTTAGCACACACTTTGAGTACACGTCACCATGGCCATGTCTTAGGTTCATGCATGAGTCGGTCTTTTCCGTCATTTGAGTTGGGGTACATTCTACTCCTAATCCTTCATATCCCTCCATCTAAATCTTTCTTCACCTCCTCCATCCATTGCATGTTGAATAAAGTTTGAGTCAAATAATTAACAATAAGTATCCCCAAATTCCTTTTCCACAGTACTTGGTCGAGGAGAGAAGAGCGATTAATCAAGGACAACCTCTTTATTCAAGTCTCGCTTTTTGATAAACCGATTCGTCAAAAGAGGAAGGCTAAGAAGACAATGGCAACTCAAGAAGAAGTCAATGAGCTTAGGAACCAATTGGTTACCATGACTGAAACACTGAAGCTACTCACCCTCAAGGTTGATGATCCCGTGAAGCTACAACAGATGGACCTCATGCAAGAGAGCCTAAGCAAGTTGTCTAGCGATTACAAGTTTCAAGAGCTTACATCACAAGGGGTCTCGGTGGACAAAGATCTTTTTCCGCAGAAGTTCAATGCCAACAACATCCCAAGATTCAAGGCAACAGATAACCCTTACTTCCATCTAAGAGCTTTTGAAACTATAATGACCATTAAGGGTATCGATAAGAAGGTTTTCCCCTCTCTGTTCCCACTATCTCTTGAAACCGTTTGCCAACAATGGTTCTTCTCCCTTGACAAGGAGAAAACCTCTACCTAGGAATCGATAGCAA